GGGGGACGGCGAGGCAGGAACAAGGGAAGGCTGGTCACCGTGTGTCTAGGAGGGTAGGGAGGAGGGCGGAGAGGGATCGCTGGTGTTCGGCCGTTCGGCCGGACCCGAGCAGTCGTCCCCCCTCGGCAGGTAGGCAGCCACAGCCGGGTGCTGGCGCAGGTCGTTTCCGTCGGAGAAGATGAGCCAGGTGACGCCCAGCGGGTCGAAGAGCTGGGCCATGCGCTGCTCCAGGAGGCGTCGGTCGCGAGCGAGGGCCTGCGACGCGGAAACCGACAGAGCCGGCGGGCCCGCCAGGCTGGTGGCGCTGGTGCTGGCACTGGCACTGGCCGCCGCAGCAGGGCCACCGCCCGGGCGGTGGAGTGAAGGCGGCGGCGGGGCCGGCACACGGCCGGTGTCGGTCGGGCGCGGGGGCAGTGGTGGGGCCCCGCCCGAGGTGGGCACCGCGCCGCTGGTCGCAGCAGCACCGCCGGCGGATGATGGCCGGGGGGGCAGGCGAGGCGGGGCGGTCGACGACGGGGCCGCCGCCGGGGCCCCGTTCGCCAAGTTGCCAGGCTCGGGGAGGTCCTGGCGCTGGTGCAGCGGCGAGCGCGGCCCAGCTCCGCCCCCCGGCTGGGAGGCAAGCGAGCCGGCCACCGGCGACAGGTCGAGCGATGTGTCGGTCGAGGACAGGCTCCGGAGGAGGTCCTCCTCGGAGTAGGGCGATTCGGGCCCCGAGGCGGCGGCCACTGCTGCGGACATGCCGCCCCCGAGGGCGGTCACCGGCGGCGAGGACATGCTCACCAGCCCACCAAGCAAATGGGGGGGATGGTAGTGCGCGGGCGGAGGCCGCGGCGGGGAGGTGCCGGCCCCGGGATCCGACCTGCCCGAGGGGTCCGAGCCGACGGCAGGGGTGGAGGTGGTGGCCACCACCACCGGCGTGGCGGCCGGCCGATCCTCCTCCTTGTCGGGGGTGGCCCCTTCTTCGCTGGTGGTTGCCGAGGGGAAGAGGATCTTGTGCGGGGAGAAGGTCAAGGCCAGGGGAGACGTCATGAGCGAGGCGCTGCCGCCGGGGCCACCGCCAAAGGAAGACCGCCGCGGAGGGGTGGCCGGACCGCCATCGTCGTCCGGCGACGAGTGGTAGTCATCGTCGGCACCACCCGCCGCCAGCGACTGGGTGGCCACCTCCTCCGAGTCGGCCGTGTTCAGCAGCCAGTCCGAGGTGTTGGTGTCGTCATCTTCATCGGCGTCATTGGCATCGGCAGGAGCGCCAGCCAGCTGGCCGCCAGCAGGGGGGGCCGGCCCGACGGGCTCGGCCACCGAGAAGTGCATCGACACCGGGATGAAGCCCTGAGCCTCGAGATCGCGAGCGGCCCCGAGGGAGCTGCCCTGGCCATTGCCGGCGGCGGTCGAGGCGGTGGACATGGAGCTGCTCAGCACCGGCGTCTGCAGCAGGCCAAAGTCCCCCGCCAGCCCGGGCGGCACCGGCCCAGGGGAGCCCCCCATGCCGAGAAGCAGGTTGTCCGACGAGGGAGAGGCACTGGTCAGGGCTGGGATCGGTGTGGCGGGGACAATGCCATCGGTCACATGGCGGATGGCCACCGCCACAATCCGGCACTTGCTGGCAATCAGCCGGACCACGGTGGCATAGAGCTCGGGATCGCGCTCGCCGCTGTCGCCAATCAGCAGGACACGCCGCCGGGGCGGCAGCCGAGCCAGCAGCGACGAGATGGCCGCCGACTTCCCGCGCTCCGGCGGCTGAAGCAGCGACCGCCATGTCCGGTCCCCCAGATGGAAGGCCTTCAGGTGCAGCGAGGTGACCGGGAAGCCGAAGGTGGCCAGGAACTGCCGGACTGGCCGGGCCAGCTGCCAGGGTGAATTCGACACATAGTGCAGGGTGGCGCAGGCGGCTGAAGGGCGGAAAGGCCGACCCCGGGGGGGGGGGGGGG